ATATTATATTATATTATATTATATTATATTATATTATAGGCATTACTTCACCTAACTGTGGGATTGTTTGAGTTATTATTACTAAACGTGAATGTTAAATTTAGTCTGTCAGCTGACATTCCGTCAGTCTGAGCCAGCCTGCTGTTGGTCCAAACCATAACAAATAAACCCGTCAGCTGGTAGGCGATTTAATCCTCTTGCCTTCTGGGAAATGTAGTTTATTGTCAACAGAATCCTCCGCCTTTAGAAATTCAAGGATTTGCATTAAAACTACATTACCCACAATCCTTAGCGGCGCACGTAAACAGAAACCTGTCAAACAGCAGAAACGCCATCTTGACAGCACCCTCAAAATGGCAGAAAGCTGTGAGTCCGAAGCCGAGTCCGAYCTAAGGTTCTGTTCCTTGGCTTTTTAAAACCTGGTGAGCCCGTTCTTCCACGCGCGGAGTGGTTATGGGGTTGGTGTCCGGCGCCGCAGCACACAGCCTGTGAGATGGATATAAGCACGGCGGTTTTCAACGCGGCCAGAGACGGTAAGCTGAAACTTATCCAGAAGTTGCTGAGCAACAAAACTCCCGAGGAGCTGGAGGCTTTGGCGGAGGAGAAGACGCAGGGAAGCACCGCTCTGTTGATATCCTCTCGATACGGACATTTAGAGGTGGTGGACTACCTCGTGGAACACTGCAAAGCGAATGTTGAACTCGGGGGTTCGGTCAACTTCGACGGCGAAACTATCGAGGGGGCTCCGCCGCTGTGGGCGGCTTCGGCAGCGGGTCACCTCTCGGTGGTGAAGGCGCTGCTGAAGCACGGCGCCTCGGTCAACAACGCCACGCTGACCAACTCCACGCCGCTCCGAGCCGCCTGCTTCGACGGCCACCTGGAGATCGTGCGCTACCTGGTGGAGCACAGAGCTGACATGGAGGTCGCCAACCGCCACGGCCACACCTGCCTCATGATCTCCTGCTACAAAGGCCATAAGGAGATCGCCAAGTTCCTCCTGGACCGCGGCGCGGACGTGAACCGGAAAAGCGTGAAAGGAAACACGGCTCTGCACGACTGCGCCGAGTCGGGGAGCCTGGACATCATGAAGATGCTGCTGAAGTGCAACGCCCGCATGGAGAGGGATGGATATGGAATGACCCCCCTCCTCGCTGCGAGTGTTACGGGTCACACCAACATCGTGGAGTACCTCGCCCACCAGCCCCGCACCTCCAGGGAGGAGCGGATCGACGCGCTGGAACTACTGGGGGCCACTTTTGTGGACAAGAAGCGTGACCTGTTGGGAGCAATGAGGTACTGGAGAAGAGCCATGGAGCTGCGGCAGGCAGGTGACAAAGCTGGATCCCTGGCCAAGCCCCCACCTGGCCCCCCGATCCCTGCCTACAGCTGTGCACAGGAGGTGAACACGGCTGAGGAGCTTGAAGCCTTAATCACAGACCCTGARGAAATGAGGATGCAGGCCTTGTTGGTCCGGGAACGCATCCTCGGGCCATCCCACCCAGACACGTCTTACTACATCCGGTACCGGGGGGCCGTCTATGCCGACTCGGGCAATTTTGAACGCTGTATCAGTCTGTGGAAGTATGCATTAGAAATGCAGCAAAGCAACTTGGATCCTTTGAGTCCCATGACAGCTTCCAGTTTCCTGTCCTTTGCCGAGCTCTTCTCTTTCGTTCTTCAGGACCGGGCCAAAGGCACCCTGTCGACCCGCATCACCTTCCAGGATCTGATGGTCGTGCTGGGGAAGAGCGTGCGGGAGGTGGAGCGAGCCGTGGCGCAGCGGGACAACCCTCCGGAGGCCCCTCAGTTCACCAAGGCGCTCTCCATCATCCTCCACCTCGTCTTTCTCCTGGAGAAGCTGGAGTGCAGCCCCGAGCAGGAGCACCAGAAGAAGCACACGGTGTACCGCCTCCTCAAGCTCAACCCGCGAGGCCGGAGCGGCTTCACGCCCCTCCACATGGCCGTCGACAAGGAGACCACGTCCGTCGGCCGCTACCCCGTGGGCCGCTTCCCCTCCCGGGCGGTGGCGGCGCTGCTGCTGGAGTGCGGCGCCGACGTGGACTCCCGCGACTGCGAGAACAACACGCCGCTGCACGTCGCCGCGCACAACGGCTGCGCGGAGATCATGACTCTGCTGATCCAGGCGGGGGCTCACTTCGACGCGACCAACGCTCAGAGGAAAACGGCCCACGACTTGTACGACGAGCACAGCAGCGGGCACCCCACCCTTTACCCGCTGAACTACATCACCCTTCAGTGCCTGGCAGCCCGTGCGGTGGAGAAGCACAGACTGCCGTACAGGGGGCTGATCTCTGAGGAGATGGAGGCCTTTATCGAGCTCCACTGACTCCCGTGACGAGACGCCTGTTCTGTTCTTCCCTGTTCCTTCACAAACCTTTGTTTTTGTTTGTTTGTTTGTTTGTTTTGTTTTCATCTGCACCATTCTCCTTACCTCTCATCTCCCCTCCTGGCCGAATGTTGTCTCAGACCAAACCATAGCAATAATCCAACAGCCTCTGGGATTACAATCTGGTCACATATCACTTAATTCTAAATTGAAATCACACTGACTTTTAAAGTGATTAATTTTTTATTACTTTTTAATTACTGGGTGAAAAATCTACCAAACAATAATGACGATAATAATAAAAATACAGTATATCTGGACTTAGATGGATTTTCTGCTGGTGCTAGCATATTATGAGATGGGTTTTAGTGTTATTAATGAAGAAGCCTTTGATCAAAGTGTCCAGATGAAATGCATGAAAAAGAAGTGTGGTTGTGCTAGTTCAGTTATTGGTTTGCAAACTCCTTTAAAAACAAACTAAAGTGTTTTTTTCACCCCTTCTTGTTCACATCTGTTTGTTGTTGAGGAAATTGTTGCCAAGCCTCTTGAATACATAAAGTCAAAGGTTTAAGCATTAAATTGTCAGTACCGGAGGAGGAGTAACTTTTTTTTTCTTAATGTTTCAGACTGTGATTCTCTATGCCAGCCTGCAGAACACATACTTGAAAGACTTTGGAGAAGAGTGGTATAAATTGTGGACTGTTTCTAAAACAGGCTGCTATTGTTTTTATTAATTCTTCTGAATCCACACAAACTTTTCTTCTTCATATTATTATTATTCCAGTCAGGGCTAATTTGGTTTTTAAGCCAAAAAAGAAGAAGATAAAAATACAAAAATAGCAATGTTATCATGTTATTCAAAAGTTGCACATGCAGACTACAGACTTACAAACTGAAGTTGGTTTAATGATGAAATTTCTGTAATATGAGTTAACTCATACCTTCAGAGTTTTCTTCCTCTGTATAAACAAACCGTTTATACAGAGGGAAGTAGATATTTTTTTTAGGGTGGTCACATAAACAAAGATATTCAATTTCAAGTCAAAAGGGCAACAAAAAAATAATCTTAGGCCTTGTTTCCTACAAATAATTTGCTCGAGATCCAATAAATCATGCATTTTAATTGATTGGAACCAGTGAGTCTCCAGCCATCTTTTTTTTTCATTAGTCTTACGTTTGTTAGACCACGTTTTGTTTGTCTCGTGTTTTCCTGAATGTTTGACTGCTAAGCACGGCAGAGTTGAATGCAACACCGAAAGGCTTCTATAAATAACAGAACCCCTCATATTCAGGCTTTTTGGAACTGACGCTGCCTTTGTAACGCAACTGTTTTAATTTAACTGAGCAAGAGTTTGTTGAATAAAATTCAGCATCCCAACCGAAGCACGGCCTTTTCCTTGTCACTTTTCTGAATCGATTCGCACAAGTGGACATGAACTTTTATGGTTGCAGTCATGGGGACACGATCAACCCTCCAACCTGTCGTAAGACTTATCTACGTTAATTTGTTTTAAAGCGTTACATCAGAGTCAGCGTTACTAAACCGAAATCATTGACCTCTTCATCGCAGCTCTATATCAGGCTCTCATAAACCTGAGAACGTTGAAATAAAGCACAACGGACACTTGATCTTTCTCAGTTCTGAACGCTTAAAGTATAAATAGACTGCAATTAACGTCACTGCTGCCGGGCAGAGGTAGAGACAGGGCGCCCACCTAGCTAATTTTAGGGGTCTTTGGTCCGAGCTTCAGCTCTGGAAGTGGGAAGAGTGTAACGCAATACTGTCAGGGAGGTCACGAGACGAGAGGTGAACGCAGCACGCTGACAGCCCGGGCTATCATTTATTTTTACCAGGAAGTAAACTGATTTATGTGTATACTCCTCATATTTGAATGTAAATATTTATTATCTGCTCATATGCCATTAATGGGACAGGATTGGGGTAATGCAGACAGCTTGACCTCTGACCTCTCAGCAGAACCKAACAATGACCACTGGTGTGACGATGCACGATAATAAATCAAATTGAGCCACATTTGTTAATTTTGTATCAGTATGTTGTGTTTAAAGGGGATTACATTTTGATTAAATAACTTACTTCAGATAAGTTTCCTTTGCAACTATCAGGAAGAAAAATACTAAGTAATTCTAACTACCACTAGGTGTCAGTAGCAACAAAGAAAATCAACAAAACTGGAAGCCTTTGTCCTGTAAAAACCATGCGAAATGCTGAAAATAATGTGTTTTTTTAGTTCAGAAGGGTGATTTTTTTACTTCCATTTCACATGTCAACATAGAAAACGTGTTTTTTTAATGATGGCTAATAACAAGGGACTAACAGGAAAATGTGTTTGCAGTGTGTCCACATAAAGACAAATCTGGGCTGACTGACAAAAGTTGCTGGTTCAGAGAATATTTGCAGTGGTTTGCCCGGGGGGGTCTCAAAAGGAAGGGATAGAGCCTCCTCCTTAAAATCTTGTGTCAGAACCTCCAGCACCACACTCCCAACACCTCCCAATTCAGCCCTGATGCTGGCTAAATATGTCAAGCTGTGTGACCTAAATAAGACCGAATCTACAATAAATTCTGTCTGCTTGGCGGTGTTTAAGGTTTGCAAAATGTAGCTTTGTTTTCCTTTTTTTTTCACGTTATATTTCTAATCAAATGTTTAGGTTAAAGAGCTGCAGTCAATTGAAATAATTAAATAATTACATCATTTTATTCGTGAATTGTCCGCATGGTGATTTTTTTTTTTTGGTCAGGACAGTTGGTGTCATTTTTATTCCAAACTCCTTGCCAAAAATTGTCCAACAAATGTAGTTATGCTGGAGGTTTAGTTGGCAAATATTACTAGGAATGAAACCATATATACTGTATTTAGCCAGTTTTCTGCAAGCTAAAGACAATCCCCTTGAAATTTTATTTATTTTATTTATTTATTTATTTATTTGCCCAAATTATGGCTTTGGAAGCTTAACTGTGCCCTACGTGATAAAGAGGACAAAGGATGGTCTCCAAAATATAATTTCTTAATAACATTTTAAATAAAGCTGAACATAACGAGCCTTGTGGAGATTTAAGTCAGTGCAACTAAGAATTTTAGCTTGAACAAGTAGAGGACCCCAAAAATATTATTATTTGTGTTCTAGGCACCTTATTTTACTTATTTCTAATAAGTTGTAAGCAAGAAGTTAACATTTATTTGCGCTTGTTAACATCAACGTAATGTTTTTGACAGCTTTCTCCTTTCTGTTTAATTTGCTTCAGAAGTTGATTCAAGCTTCTTACAGGACAGACATTTTCATTATTTCAGTCGTTTTTTTCCCCAGTGTTGTCGACTTGAGTTATTACAGTAAAACGAAGTGCAGCTTTGTTTGGTGTAACTTGAAATCATAATAACTGAGAACATGATCAGCACTGTAAAATTGTACGTGTTAAGAAAATAATGTCAGTAGGCCCCCAAAATAAGTTTTGGCCCATGGGGCCCACAGCCTCCAGTTTCCTGCCCTGTTTACAGCTCAATAAATACCAGTTAATTTGACACCACGTGGTTTTTCCTCTGGTATTCTTATTATTTTCCCAGTCTGTTGTTATCCAGCACAGTCCCGCTCTGTGGGAGCTCCTACTGGACTCCTCTAATTAAACACTACATTATGGCGGCCTACAGGGGTTGCAAGGTGCTTATCTTCAGTTTAGCTACGAGTGGGGGGCATGGGGGGGTGGGGGGTGCGGTCACCAATAAGACCAAGCTGGCTCAGCAGCCCTGCACAAGTCAGCCATCCAAGAAGAGCTGGGGGTAGAGGGTGGGCTGCAGGGGGTGGATTAGAGCTCGTTATGGGGGTACAGGGGGTGATGGAGGGAGGAGAGGAGGAGAGGAAGGATACGGTTGCCATTGGAGATCTTGGCTGCATCACGTCATGTGAATTGGGGGAGCGGGGGAGGGAGGGGGCGCTCCGGTGAGAGAGAGAGGGAGGAGAGAGAGAGATAGAGGAGGGAGGAGAGAAGGAGGAGGGCAGAGAGAGAGAGAGAGGAAGAAAGCAGCGAAAGTGTCACCGAGCAGCAGAATTCCGAGGCCGCGAAGCGATGCTGTGCCGACCGAAGGGCTGAGGAGACACCCCCCCCACTTCCCCACGCCGCAGAGCTCCGTGAGCCCCGCCGACAGAGTCCGGAAGAGCCGGGGCGGAGAAGAAGAGGAGCCCCGGCGATGCGAGCATGCAGCCTCCCAACCCTCCTCTTCCTTCTCCTCCTCCTCCTCCCCATCATCCACAAAGAAGACAGACGTTCCTCTGACTGACTGAGAGGAACTCCGCTGCCTGCTGGATTACAGCCGCCCCCCCAGAGGAGGCTTCCAGCCGCACACCTCCCCACATGAATTCAGCGAGGAAAAGCGAGCACTCCCCAGCAAGGTGAGCCTCCTCATCCTCCTCAATGAGTGCTGTTCCTGTTGATGTGTGCAGCTGCACCCCACCCAGGCTGCCTTTTAGTCTCACTTGGCGAACTAACAAGGTGATGGGGGGGGGGGGGGGGATCTCAGACACGGCCTCACATTTTTCTCTGCATCATTATTCATTTTTAATGCATTATTTGCAGGAATCTTTGTGTTGCTGCAGTTTCGAAAGGGGTTGGGATCAGGCTGTGAGTGCTCCCCTGTCACCTTCTCCCCATTGTTGGCTGAGCAGCTTGAGGGATCCTTGCAGATTCTTTGTTCCTCATCCTCTCATTTAAAGTGCCTTATTTTTGAAAAGCTCCCTTTTTTAATGAGGCTTTTGTCAAGCGGGGTTGGAGGAAAAACACGGTTGCTAAACAAAAATGACAAAATGAGAATTAAGATGTTATTAAATTGTGGGCATTTAAAAAGAAAACTCCTGATTCTTTGCCCTGCTGTGTACCTAAAAGTGCCATTATGATAATGTCATTTTGAACACTTGTGAGGAGGCAATCACAGACACATTATGAATGCATATGGGCCATTAGATTAATARTAGAATAATTTTTTTTCCTGGTGTGCAGGGCGCAGGTGGTGAAGCGGATGGACTTATTAATAAGCAAGAATGTTTTCCAGACAAAAGAGTGATTGTTGCATCTGTTTCTGTCCAGCCTTCTGATGTGTGCATCTATACATCTATGTGTTATTAGAGTGTTTAGAAATATGCTCAGAATCACATTTTTGGGTTGATGTAATGTACTTTAATGAAACATCGTTTTATCCTCACACATAATTTTGAGGACTGCTGCTGCTGCTTGTTTTATTTATTTCATTATTATTATTTTTATTATTATTGCCAAATGGGTTTAACCATGTAAAGTCATAAACGAGTGGGGTTTTTTTAATTATTATTTTTATTTTTTGGATTTCCGCTGCGTGACTTCTGCAAAGTGGAAAATTGCTCTGCCGTGGTGAATCCGAGGGAGGTCTTCCCTCCTCGCACACAGATGGGCCGTTTTTTCCCCGAGGCGCTGTGTGTTTGCTGGTTATTGTTCCAGACCATTTCCACATCCCTAATTATTTTAATCAGTCATTTTTACGCATGGGCTCCTCTCTTTAGTGGACCTKCTGATTGCTGCCGACTTTTATCTCCACCCTGGCCAACAAAAGGAACGGACACGGCACCGTAACTCTCTGAGAAACGCAAGAAATTCGCCTTCTTCTGAAAGGATGGAATAAGTGAATTGGCAGGGCTTCATCAGACATGTTTGCATCCAGTTGTTGGAAACKTTTAGGGCCCTGTTAGGAGCAGGGGGTCATGAAATGATAGCATGATTTGTGATGACATTAATAGCATGTCACAGGGTTCAGCTACAGAACCCAGTGGGTTTTTTGGCTCCAAAAACAGAAGCGGCTGTAAATCCATCCAGATGTGAAAATGTGTCCTCACTGGAGCAGCTTTGGTTTCATATCAGWGGCCTCTCGAAGGCTCAGATCCTCACAGCATCTTATCCCACGTAACACTTTATTTTTGGGTCTGAATCTCTCGGACGGACAGACTCCATCCGCTTTGCTTTTTGCACCAGTCAGCTGGCAGGAAGGAGAAGCAACTCCGATGCTGCGAGCYTAGCCACCTGTATTACAAGCAGACAGACTCTTTGTTGTTGTCTTGGCGTTGATATTAATTGACCTTTTCGAAGCCTTCCAAATGGGGATGTTCTGGCTGCTCCMCTGCTCGTCTCAGGCTGCTGAAAATAATCCAACATCCGGCACACAGGACCCAAGCTGTTTGGCCGAAATGTTTGGTTTGAATTGATTTTTATGACACTGTTTTCATGATGTTTTTTAAACTATTAGAGCTATTTTTAAGCCGTTTGGTGTTTAATTTTTATTTATTTTACTGCAGCAGTGTTGGGTATTTGCTACAGGGAAAAAGGGCCTTTGATTAGTTAAGGGAAATGAAGAAAAAGTGAGATCAATACTTGGAACAGTTCCACCTCTAAGCTGCATATTTCCTTATTTCTCGTGCTTCAGCTTAAGCTCAGTTTAACCGTGACATTTATTGCTSAACATAAAACRGRTTTAAGGTATATCTGATGATGCCGAAATGATGTTTTACAAACTCCTGCTGTCCAAACAATAATTTAGGCCAGGCTATATGCATGAACTGAAAATGGGTCTGTGGCCCTTAATTCACATGCGAGAAATGTATTCACAGCWAATTTCAGCGCATTTACCATTAGTTTGATCACATTCTGCGAGATGCTACATACATTAGTCACCTAATGAGCTAGTTTTCAGAAAACACTTCTCAACGCGCTGTGTTGTTGTTTTCAGCCGTAATGACCCGACATTAGATTACTGATATGAGCACAATTATGTCATGATTTTACTCATAATTACTGGTYAGCGTTTAAAATAATTTCAGCTAATAATAGAAAACGCAAAACTTGTCAAAGCAAAAACTATATGTATAGATAAACTCCATTGAGCATTAAATATAGATTTATTATTATTTTTA